ACATTCGAAAATAAATTTTCTACATGACCCATAAATTTGGCCGTGCTAGAACTCGGAGGTCTGTAAATATTTCCAATAGCAATTGAATATTTAAAAAAAACTTGATCCATATGTACTCTATATAACACATGGGCTGAAAAGTCCCGGGCCAAAGAAAGAAAACGCGTTTTCCAGCCGATTGTTGTGCTTTTGAGCGCTTTGTACAAATTTAACTCTAGTTGCTCTCCACTCAGATGACGATCGTTTTAAGTGAAGTGATGGATGCATGTTTCATCCATTGTTACATATCGACGCAAAAATTCCGGTTTGGTATGTTTACACATGTGCAAACACTGCTCAGAATCATCCAGTGAGCTCGCGCGGCACTCTCTTTGAACAGAGCTTTCTCATAGTCACATGCTCTTCCAACACGTTTTTCTTGATATCTGTACAATGTCAGCTAACTCATGCAATTTCACTATTCGATCATTCAAAACGATTTTGTGGATTTTTTTTAATGTTTCCTGGTGTTAGTTAATGCCTCATTTGGACGTGCACTGCGTTCTGCGTCATCGGTGTCTCTACCACCACGTTTGAAGTCAACAAACCAACGCGTTGCAACGTATATCAAAGTAGTTTAATTTAAGTAAATCTTCAAATCTAACTTTGATTTGCATTAAAAAGGTATCCAATATTTCATTATGAATCTGTTTATAATTTTGTCTCAAATCGGGTAAGTCTGAATTGGTTTTTCTTTTTGTCGGCGCCCGCGGTTCGAGAGTAAAATCAATTGATTCCAAAATATTATTAAAAAATGTATGGTTATTTCTTAAATTCATCAAAATTTCTGTTAAAGTGTTTAACCGTTGTTTTGAGTAATTAATATCTGTTCATTTATTTTGAAGAATAGAAAAAACAACATCGGTATGTTCAAATATTAATTTAAATATTTCTAACAAGAAACAAAACTTGTGATCATTTAAAATATATTTGAAACCTCTCGCCTCCCTAAGACTTTGGTCGTCGGTTTTAAAATCGTCACTGTNTCTGCAACTGAAATTACAAATCGGGACGTATGTCTCTGGTTGGATCGGTCTCGTGGAGCCTGTGTTTTTTAAAGCGGTCGGAGGCTTGGCTCCCTTGCAACGTAAGGCATTCATTATTTCGGGTTGATGGTTTATTCGTTATTCGTTCGCAGGGCGGTGCGTTTGAATTTTGTTGATACAGGATACAGTGTGGTACGTACTACGTAGTGAGTGATAGTGTTTTTTCGGGCATATTATGTATTTATATTAAAAATGAATGGTATGATACCCAAGCATTTTTAGAAAAAAATAATCATACGTATTTTTCAATATCTTTCAATTTATTGCGATGAATAGCCACAAATTTTATGGGGAGGCTAAGCCTCCCTTGCCTCCTCTGACGAGCCGCCGCTGGTTGTTTCTGATGGAGCAGAGTCCATATAACACTTTTCAAGCCATTGCTTCGCTTGAACGGTATTTTTTTCCATCAAGAAGCAGTGTAAAATTAAAACACGAAATTGTTTTTGATCCATTGTTTTGAAAATAACAAAAGTAGTGTCACTTTTAGCACAATAACTCACAAACTTATGAGTAGAATATCATGAAATTTCAACAGCTTTCATTTTAAGGTTAGTACTAACCGAAAAAGCGATGAATGCAATAAGAATAGCGCCATCTATGTGTAGGCCCGAGATTTTTCAGCTCATGTAGTATTCTTTGCACTCACCAAAAATATAATTATACCTCCAATCATCTTGAATATACAGTGAGTGAAAGCCAAATTGAATAAATTCATTATTTCCGTTACGGTACATATTTTAACAAAATCCCGAAACACGTCAAATTTAAATTATGATTTGACATACTTTAACGGAAAAATGCTACCCATACCTTTAACCCCAGTCAAATGACAGGTGCAACTCCCAATTTTTTAAATGAAAAGTATAGGCTTGTGATATATTGTTTGAAAGGTCTCTTTATTCTCCATTGAAAAATGTTATTACGTTCAAGATTATTGCAACAATTGAAATAAAATAAAACAAAATCATGTGGTTACCGGAATTCGATAAAATACACTCAAAACTTATTGGAATATACTCAAAACTTATTTCATGTTTGAGGTATTGATAATAAGAAAGTGAACAAAAACCATAGCAATGTACTTTTTAGATAGTGTCCTTTAAAAAACTGTAAATAATTTCCGTGGCAACATTAGTTGTCAGTATTTTAATTTAAGTTTAAAGTTCGTTAACTTCAAGTCTGACAAATGAATAGATTAATGGAAATGCATTAAATAACACTTTTACAAATGATTGGCTACAGAGATAAAACCCGAACACAACAGGAAGTAGCTCGCCTATTTCATGAGAAATTTTTCAATTTGCCGCCCTTATCTCAAGACACAGTAAGCAAAATAGAGAAGCAGTTTCGCGAGCTTGGTCATGTGGGGCAGATAAGAAAAGCAGCTGTCAATGCAATTAGTGATGAACTCAAATTAGATGTGATGCTTGAGTTTGAGGAAAACCCATATAGATCGAGTAGACAGGCATCCACTACATTCAATGTTAGCCGTACATGAATGGTAAACATATAGAAAATAAAATGCATCCCTATAAAATGATACCTACTCAGGAGCTCATGGAAGACGATTTTGATAGAAGAACTTATTTTTGTGAGCAAATGATAGACATGTTGGATGACAATATCATCCAATTAGAAGACGTTATGTTTTCGGATGAGTGTACTTTGTCTCTTAACGACCGTGGTAATCGGCAAAATTGCCGCTACTGGTCAACGGAAAATCCTCACTGGATGAGAGAAGAACAGACGCAATACTCTCAAAAAGTTAATTTTTGGGCAGGGATTGTAGGAAACCATATCATTGGTCCTTTTTTTATTGAGGGAAACTTGAATGCGGCGATAATTATTTGGCACTACTTCAAAATGATGTCATTCCAAGTTTAGCAAATTTATATCCTGATCCAGGAAACTCTCAAGTTTCAGTGAATACGATATGATTTCAGCAGGTCGGAGGCCCACCACATTACCAAGTTAATGGTCGGTTGGTAGCCAGGCGGTTCGACGTGGATGCTTTGTTAACTCCCTCGAATTGACTGCTGTGTTGGTCGGTGGTTCAAGCCCCAATCTGAACGATCGATTTTCACTTGCTATCGTCCAACCCGTGCTAGAAATCACACGTTAAAAGGTAAAACTTCGTTAATCTTTAGCTCGCACAAGTTTCGACTTCTGAGGGTTGTCGTTCGTAGGGGTGCGACAGCTGGTTAACGGAAAAACAGATTTTGACAAGTTTTAGAAAGTTTAGAAATGAATCAAATTCACAAAATACAAATAAACATGATAGATCTCACTGAAACATGATAGATCTCACTGAAGTGGTGAATTTTAAACAATTTTTTTAAATACCTCGATACATTTCCCAGATCGGGGTAAACTAAAAAGTTTGTCCTTCTACACTTGTATAAAGTTCTCCATTATAATTTTTATATTTTTCAGATTGTGGAAGGTAACAAATACCCAAAAAAGGTGATAAAAAACTGATTTTCCTACACAAAAAATGATTTTCGTTGAATATTTTTTTTCGTATTCTATATTTCATCACGTTTTGCATTACATTTTAGTTTTTGACTGTATTTTATTGAATTTCGGTAACCACATGATTTTAATTTATTTTATCTTAATTGTTGCAATAAACTTGAAAGCGATAACATTTTTTAATAGAAAATGAAGAGTCCTTTCAAACGATATATCACAAACCTATACTTCCTATACTTTAAAAAATTGGGGGTTGTACCAGTCATTCGAAGGGGGTTGAAGGTAGGGGTGGCATTTTTCCGTTGAAGAAAGTCAAATTATAATTTACATTTGACGTGTTTCGGTTTTTTTTCAGTAACCAAAATAATGAATTTATTCCATTTGGCTTTTACACACTGTATAGCCCGACACCTCCGCTTCTGGTAGGACAATTATGATGAATACAAGAATAACCATTTAATTTCACATGTTCGGTTGATATACCCGAGTGTAGCCAGATTTCTGTTACACCCACATCTGTTTTTAAAATCTGTTTTTCAGTTAATCAGCTGTCGACCCTATACGAACGACAACTCTCAGAAGTTGAGAAACTTGTGCGACTTAAGGACTAACGAGGTCTTACCTTTTAACGTGTGATTCCTAACATGGTTGCAGAATCATCCCAGCTTCAATCAGATAAATTCTATTGAGAAAAATATCTGGTCGAGGCAGGAATTGAACCCACGACCTTCCGATCGTGAGTCGAGCGCACTACCACCGCGGACCGCGGCCAATTCCACAACATTACATCATGCATGCAAAATTTCATTTTTGATTTCTGAAAAGTTTGAGGATAATGACTGAACCATTCGATTTCGACACCAAAAAAAACTATCACTATTATGAAATATTTCTTCATACTTTAATTCAATTTTTTTAGGAGAAAAATCGAATTTTGAACCCGATGAAGCGGTCAAGAAAATTTTAGGCCCTCTGTTTGATGAATGGGCCTGCGCTTTGAAAGGGGAAATCGCTCGAGTTATGATAAGAATAAATCTGTTGAAATTCGATGCGAAGCAAAACATTGATAGAATTTTGAATTCCATGAAGAAAGCAGCACATTCAGCTTTTGAGAATATCCGATCAAAGTATTGGGAAGACATAAACAATATTAACGAGGCTTGCAATTTCTTGAGCAGAGCAATCGAGATGGAATGTGCCATTCAGGAAGAATTGATATTCTCAGGCAGTCATTTCCATGTGAATGCAAATGTAATATATTTTCCTGATCCACCTCCAACTCAGAAACTCGGAGCTGAGACTGAACGAGATCTAAGTTTTACTATATCCCAGTTAGAAACTTTGACAGATATATTGTTTGATTTGGCACCTAGCGGATACATCCCTGAACGGTCTTTTATATACTTACTTCAAGACATGATTGCCGATGAAGAGAAATCAATGGCTCCGAAGGCGTGGAAGAAGTTATCGACGAAGAAAATGGAACAACTTTCTGAGGAGATATTTGGAAACAATCAATCGATCCAATGGAGACAATTCATTTTATATAATTTGATGATCCCGTTTCCAAGTGTCGAGGAACTGTTGAACTTGAGGAAACATCTCACAGAGCACGACATTAACTTCACCGAAGTAATCAGCGAGGAACAATTTGAAGAGATAACTTTATGGTTCGAGACATCGGGTGATGTACAACAACAGGTCGTTAGAAACTTATTGCTTAAATTGTACAAAATCAGTTATGAGAACTTCAACTATACAGCCATGCTTTTTGACTTTTGCAAGGGTTCCAGCACTCCGGAAGGTTTCGCAAAAGCTTTAGCACTTTCGTCAGGAAAGGCGTTATGTTGGGATGAAAGAGTAGGAGAAATGTTTGTTAAAGATATTTTAGAGAAAAGAAGGATTCACGAGGAAGAGGTGAGTTGGTGAATGTTTATAAATATGTTATATTAATGACTGGATTTGCAGTGCGTCCATAAATTAATGCAGAAATCCATTATGGGTTGAATGATAATAACAAATAATAATTTTTCAATAATGAGACAAAATTAAATTTTCATTGTTATGAGTTACAATATGTTTCTTTTCATGAAATTGGATTTGGAATATTATCCAGTGGCATCGCAGAGGGTTACTTAATTGACATTTATGGATTTCGTTGAGTTTGCACTACACTGTTTTCGCTAACTTTGATATTATTTGAAATAGCTGAACTTCATCGAATCAGATTCAATAGAAATGGGAATTTCGCATTATCTAAGTTAAAATAAGCAGGCATCCCGTCGTGCATAAAACACTCATTTAGTCATACTATCAAAGGTACATCCTCTAACATTTCTGGCAATGTGCCTAGAAATTGTCTATACGTCACACCATTGAGTCAAGAAGTTAGAAATTGCGGCCTTATGACATGATCATCAGAAATTCTCGCCCAGACGTTTCCTCGATAGAGTCGACGGGTTTCTGTGCAGCATTTACATTTGCTAGTCCATAAACGAAATTAATTTCATGAAAATTCTTTGTTCGATATTTTTGCTTTCTCTTTGAAATTTGGTGATTCGGCATTTTATTTGGCTTCTCACGGATATCTTATTTCAACTAATTCACAAAAAAACATCAAAAAATGATACACTCTGACCGTAAGTGAAAACAGTATGTAAATTCGTTTGTTGGTAGTTTTTGAGTATATCACGTTCAGAAACACAGACCCCCCTTGGGATTTTTTTAAATGTAGTGATTTAGAAAAAACTTCCTTAATGTCAATAATCATGAAAATATGATAATATGAAAATCTCAGCATGTATTTTATATTTGTTTCAATCTTCATTTAATTTTTTAACTATTTTTGTATATCAGTTTCAATTTTTCATAAGCAAACTTTCACTTCTTCGTGACATGTCACATTTTATTTCGTGTATAAACATTGTACATACATTAAGAAACTTGAATATATGCTCGAACAGTTGGGACAATAACAAAATACTCAATACAGCGTCCTATATGAACAATGGAGACTGAATCTGCATTCAATCAGGGTTAGTGCTTATTTGAATAACTTGCACTAGTATGTAGAAGAGAGATAGCTGAACAAAACGTGAGTCCTCAACAATTTCTGATTTTCAGGCCATTTGACAGTTCACGTAGATAAATAACATGCTGCATAATGAAAAATTACCACGGTTTCAATTGTTTTATACTACATCAATAGTTGTTCTAACAACTGATAAACTGCGGACATTTCATGTTTCACATTATTTGCCACAAATTGATGATGTATGCGTATTATTTCGTCGACCCAACTGTACTGAGGTTTAAGAAGTCGACCAACTGTACCTACAATGTGGAAATTACCACCAATTCGGAAAGGAGTCTGAAGTACATACATTTTCGCGGTTAGGTCTCCAGTGAACTCAATTTCATATGCCTCTTCCTCAAAAGTATTTGGTATTGCCATACATTACAGTTAGAACAATCCATAGAAGTCTACGAAGGGTGAGACTTATATCGTTTAAAGGGTTATCCCAAGATGGATTTCAATATATCATATAACCAATAAATATTTTATTTTGAAGATTAATCTTCCTCTTTGAAGATGATCACTTGGTGATCGAAACACGTGTCGAGGTGTTAAAAATAACGATTTGGTGTTGGGAAAAAACTCCAGTAATATTCATTACTACACCAAAGGTTCCAAACAGTGTATCATAACTTATATGCTTAGTCTACTAATTCTGTTGAAATTCATATAGTACTTATACATATAATTTTAGGTAACAATCCGGAATGAGGAAAGAAAACAGGCTGAAGATTTTGTAAAAATAATCATAGATGAAAGCATAGGTGAAACAGTACATAAATGTGAGAGCATTATTATTGAAGAAGTAAGACACGAAACAAACTCTTTCCGAAAAATACGAACAAACGAAAAAGTTCGTGTTAAAATTGTTAGCGAATCCGAAGGAACTGATGAAAACCCTGATGAGTTAAACCATGATAAATTTGAAGAAAGTGATAATAATGATCATGGTGAAAAATCTGATCTTGGTGGTGATCTTGAAGAAGAAAGTAAAGGAAATTTCTCAAACGAAAGTGGCAAACTGGAATCAAATGACGACAAAAATTTTTTCAACATAGAAATAGGATTTGAATGTAATCCCAATCCTAATTTGCAATATTTCATTGAACTTGAGACTGTTCTATCGGTATTATCAATAGTCCTCTCTTGGAGTTTTAATGTTCAAAACATAGAAGATAAAAGTTTTTGCGAACTCTTACAAGAAATTTATGATGAATGTAAAAATCCACAGTTCAATGATGAGGTGTTATCTCATGAATTTTTGAATAATCCAAAATTTTTGAAACTTCTCAGTAATACTACAATTTTTTTGGTGAAAAATCCTTCCGAAATTGTGAAAGAGCTCCTAGATGAATAGAATAAAAACTAAAACAAACTTCTTTTTTCAATTTATTGAGGAGGAGAAAATATATATGTGAAGGACTGAGTGAAAGGAAAGGCATCAAGTGAAATTACTTATGTTTGCGGTAATACTGACTTGGAATCTTCCTCGGAGCCGAGGGTATATTGGATTAACCAATCGGAAATCCCATTACTCGGTTCATGAAATACGAGGTAGGGACCTCCAAAATTAATGAGGTAAAGTGGTGAGACCCAAATCGATACTTGTATCCGACGATAAACGCCACCGAATGCATGATTTCACGAGCCTGAGACAGTTGAACATGTGTTTACAAGGAGAGAGTGGGTTGGAGGGAGTGGGTTATGGGGACCATAAGGTGAGAGTTGGACATGTCAACTACGGGTAATGAATGGTATAGTATTGAGCAAGAATAAATTGCTTTTGTCCATGAGAGGACAGATAGAGTGGTGAGGAACGATTGGTTCATATGAAAGTGGTATGGTCAAAACATGCGGGAGCTTGGTTGAATGCATTACCAGTTTCCTCCCTTGGTAGTAGTAGTATTTGAAAATTAATTTTTCAGAGTTACTATAGGTCTCCAAGTAGGTTTTGATATTTTTGTTCAACTGCATATTCGGAGCAGCGGTAAGTACTCAAGTATTTCATGGATCAAGTTGCAGATATGTCACAGGACGGTTACCGCCATGAAACATGCTTTGTGTTTTTAAAATATACCTTCAATCTTAGAACCTACAGGCAGTTGTAGCAATAATGGAAAATGACCAAAGCATGTTAATGCTTTGGTGGAGATTCAGTGGTTCAGCAGCCATATCAGCAGGATTGGCAAAAAAATAAAAAACGAGTGTTTAGGAGATAATTTTAATTTTTATGCAATAGAAATCAAAACATTTGGTACCTACCTCCCAAAAGTGGAATTGATTTTTGAAATCGGCAGTACGATCTTCAAAGAGATCAAAAGACAGAGGATGAACCTTTCTTAATCCGAAAATCAGTATTTTGATTCAATGGCCAAATGCAGCCTCATATTCAGAGATATATCTCATTCCAAAATACTTAGAGAATTATCCATGTTCCCTATGAACGGAATATATCATTCTACTAATCCAATATCTCGTGAAATAATTTCCGAAAACAGCTGTCATGATAACATTTCAGAACAAATAATCATTACTTAATAATTTACAAGATATACTCAGAGACATCAGTTATCATAAAAGTTATTTTTCTGAACAAGATAGTAGTGTTATGCCTGCTCTGCGACATATCCAACCTCCACGACAAAATTATTCTGACCATGCTTGCAAGTATATAATATGGGAAGGATTGTCCAACTTCTTCAAAAGATTTGTCCTCATCCAATTCAATATCCCAGAGTTCAACCTCCAATTCCTAATCATGCCTTTTCAATGATAGGGAGAATCACCGTATTAGAGGTTATTCAAAAGTGAAGAGCAATATATGCCTATATATTCTCTGCTAGGAATTGGAGGCTACTAAATCGTATTTTTGAGACACTGCAGTTTAATTATATTGTCATATCCATCATTATTGCCATAATTCATGAAATTCCTGAATCAAAAGTCAACAGAAAAGATACCATATTTGCAAAATTCAAATAATGTATTTTATGACACTTTTCATTCAAACGAATCAATTTATAATCATTTCACAGACTTTTACAATTTCAGAAAACAAAAATAATTCAAATATTGTAAATACATTTTAATTGATTCATATACAGGCTCATTGAAAATGACGGTAATCCTACACTTGTGGAAAGTTGAAGAATAAGGAGTAAATATGTTAATTGAAAATGAATGTATGAAATTCAGTTATATCCCAATAGGAATGAATAAATGTAATAAATTGACTAATGTAGCCGTTACCACGTGGTAGGAGATCAACATGTTTTCATACCACTTAGAGATATCTTATGAGGTCATTTGCATAAACTACATAGAGAAATAGTCCCAGGATCGAGCCTTGTGGAACTCCTTGAGGTATGTGTAAGGTACCTGAGTAGGCCTGATTAAGTTTCACAACTTGCTTTCGATTGCTTAAAAAAGACTCTAGAAGGTGCAGGGGTACTCCCCTGACACCATATCTCGATAACTTAGAAATCAGTAGTTTATGATCAACGCAGTCGAAAGTGCACGAGAAGTCTAGAAATAGGCCCATCACAAATTTGTTGTTGTCCAGATGTTTCATTACATGGCTCTGAAATTCACAGAGATCAGTTTCTGTGCTTTTCTTTTTAATGAAACCATGCTGCGATGACGAAAGCAGATTATATTTTTCGAAGAAAGCACACAGCTGGTTTTTCATATTCAGCTCAAATAGTTTTGAAATACTAGAAATGATGCTAATTAATCTATAGTTATTCAGATCACTCTGGTCACCTTTTTTGTATATTGGACACACCCTTGCGTATTTTAGTTTTTCTGGAAAAATCCCCTTTTGTGTTGATAAGTTAATCAATACTGTTAACGGTTTGCATATACTGGGACCAATTTGTTTCAGAAAAGTATTACTGAATCCATCCATGCCAAGGGATGTTGAATTTTTCAAGCTGAGAAATAATTCTAAGAGGTCATTTTCTGTTATTGGGGACATATAAAATGTGTAAGGGCACAGAGGTACATTCTTATTTATGAAGTCCATGTCATACACTAAGTTAGCCACAGGTGCTTTGCTAATACAATTTCATCGACTGACAATCGCTCTGCCAATGGCAAATCATTTTGATTGTTTTTTTTGGTAATGCGTTGATAATTTCCAATGTCGTTTTTGTTTTATTTTCTGCCTTCATCAGAACACTATCGTAAAATTGTTTAGATGTCAAATGTAGTTTTTTCTTATAGGTATCCATTATTGAGATATTTACTGATCTCTGCAAATCTGTGATCATGCCTAGCAAACAGGTTATACAATGAAACATTATTTTTCAGAACTGATAGCTCTGGGCTCCGACAATATTTATAACTTTTGTTCTTTTTATTACCTCTGTCATAACAAAGTTTAAGAGAAAAGCATTTTTCGAAGTAATAGAAAAGGCTCGTTAAAATGTCATGTGCTAAATTAGACAGTCATGAATATAGACATAGGATCAATCAAGAATGTCATCATTTCTGTATGTTTGTATTGTATTCACAAAAAAACGTTGGATCATTTACACTATGGTTTGTTAAATAGTATTTTACTGTTTTAAGGGTATGATGTACATTCTTGGAGTCTAAGATAAAATGTTTAATATTACTACACACACATTTTGCTATTTTTCATTTTAGGGTCAACTAGAAATCTGATATTACTGTTCCTATCGAGTTTAATATAATTAGTTATGGCCTGATCAAATGCATCAGCAATTTTGTGATCTGCTGGTTGCTGTTTTTCCATCACAATGTGAATATTCAAATATCTTTCAATTGAAAGTACGTTTTTCAAAGTCGACTTTAAAGCTTTACTGTTACTTATATTATTAGAGTTGAACATGATGAAGACAAAATCATTCTGTCCATATTGTGTAGTCTTAATAAAAATATTTTTTGTTAGTTCCGAAATTTCTACCTTTGTTTCTATGTATTCGTCTATTTCATACTCGTTGTCCTTTACCAATGTCTTCAGGACTTTTGCAAAATCCATAGTATATTCATCGCCTACAAGGAGAATTTTATTTCTAGTCCCTTTTTCAGACAGTGTTTCGAGACATTCACCACTTTCCTAGATATGCTCGTCTGATTCTATCATTGCCATTTCATCTTGTAAACTAAGGTTATTTCGTTCTTCCTTTTCTAGACCATTAATCGGATTTGTTTGTGAACTCAACATGGCACTCAACAACGGACATAGTAATAAATTGATAGATGTAGCCGTTACTATGTGGTAGGAGATCATCATGAAAATTGAGAAATAAAACTTCCTATGTTTTTATACCACTTGCATTTGTTACTAACGTTACTGCAGTTTCGTTCTATACAGACATTTTCAAACGAGTTTATTATATTCGTTTGAAATGTCCGTATAGGAAAAAACTGTAGTAAAGTTAGAATTACAAATACAAGTGATATAAAAACATAGAAATCTGTATCTGTAGAGTAGGGAGGGTGAGTGTAAGCCCACGCACTTAGGCCACATGTGACCCATTGTACATCCTCCCAAGGAGTTGTCCTCCTAGGTCGTCGTCCATCCTGTCCTTTCCAGGAAGGTGGACAGGTCGCTGGGAGACATCTCCTTTATATCGGCAGGTGTAGGCCAAGACTCGCCGAACACACACTCTCTTATTGACGATAACTCCGGGCACTCGCACAGGACATGCCTGACAGTCTCATCTTCCTGTTCACACATCCTGCATAGAGGTGTGTCCACTAGCCTCATATTATGTAGGTGTTTCCTTAGCTGACAGTGGCCAGTCAGAAATCCTACTGTAAGGCGTAGATTTTTCCTGGTCATCGCCAGATATTTCTTCGGCGCCAGCTTCCCAGGGTCGCCCAAGGTGATCCTGGCAAGATTACATCCTTTGATTTCATCCCATCTCTTTAAGGATTGAACATGGGTGTAACATTTGACTAGTTCCGCAATTGTCGAAGTCATCAGGCCGTGGGTGCCACTTGGTCCTAAAATTCTTAGTCCAGCCGCTTCCTTGGCTAAAGAGTCGGCAATGCGATTACCTTTACTCCTTTCGTGCCCTTTAATCCACCTCAGGATAATGTTATTATCTACCGAGGCTTTGGCTAAATCTTGATGGCACTCTAGTGCTAGCCCTGAAGTAACACGGTGTCTGTTCAAGGCTAATAGTGCTTGTCTGCTATCAGTGCAGATTAAAAACATAGAAAGTTTTGTTCCTCAATTTTCTTGAAACTACTGGTATTTAACAAATCTAAAAATAAGCTTCGAATATTTGAATTTCTCTACAATTTCAGATCATTCTATTGGCCAATATGTCGATAACGAACATTGAGTAAAACAATAGGAAACTGGAAACAGTTATATTTTACATAATTGAGATTCTAGGTAGTATGGACATATAAAATGAAAATAGGTGATGAGTTGACTAAAAATAATTATAGAGACTGAAAATTCATGAAATTCATTTTTGACACAATGACTATGCAGTCATGTCTACAGCACTACTTCGTCTCACAATTGAAAATTGAAATAAATAGATTAACATACATTTTATACAAACACTTTTATAAAAACGAATATATTTAATTATTGACTTTTCTTTCTTGACATTTTGTGCTATTTCTATTACTGAAATTAGTGGGCAATTCGTCATACAGGGTGCTATGCACTTTGTACGAATTGCAGTTGTATTTTGGCAACATTTATCAAAATTAAATCATTGTTATAAGTACACCATGACATACTAAGAATAATGTATAAAGAAAATATATATACTTATAATTTCGAATCAGTAAAATACTAAACGTAATAACAATATTCAGAATTTGAAATACTTCAATGAGAATGGGTAGTATTTGTGCAATGACGTACTGCTCATTTTTCTTTTCACAGCCACAAAGTAAAGTTAAATCTACATAAATATATATCCATAAAGTACACGGAATGAGTACGTTCATTGCTACGACTAAGAAGAGTTCCAGATAGTCTTAGTAGTTCCTCTAAGTCGTAAGTACAGTATGTGATGAAAAAAAGTTCATATAAAATTTTAAAATATATGAATAATATAAATGTTTTCAACAAGATACATAAAAAAGTGGTTATTTTTGACGTTAATTCTCAACTTTTTACATTTTAATATTTTTCATTCAATCTCATAATGAACTAGATGTACGTTGGAAGGAAAACCACTTGATTCTTCGTTCGCATAAATCTCCTAAAGACTTCTGAGGATTGTCTGCCGTTCATAAGTAGGCGATAATTGGTTAACGAAAAAATCCGCACTTAAAACTAATGTCGTTAATCACTAAGATACTTTGTAAATAATACTCATAATAAAATTTTTCCTTATTCTCCGACAACTGTTCATTTTTACATATTCCTTGAATGGGTATCCGATGGTTTGACTACTTTTGATGCATTTTCTATGATCCTGCTTTTCATCTTGAAAAGCAATACATCACCGTCCATCTGGTCAAACGAGTCTCTAACAGAAGTCTTGAGGTTGTTCGAAATAGGCTTTATGGCTGGTACCGAGAAAAAAAAACCAAAAAGGAAAGATCGATCTTCTTGACTTGTGTATTTTAGTAGACTTGATTTGCTTTATGTAAAGATTCTGATGTATCAGAAGAAAAACTACATCTGTACATGATCAAATGTACTGTAGTCATTTTTGAGAAGTCAGCTGAAACAATTCTGCAGTTCATAATCATTAACGGTTTAGAGATATATCGGTGCAAAATAGCTGTTGAAATGAAATAGCTCTTGAAATACAGATGAATGTGGGTAAGGGTAGTTTTTTCTTGCACATATATTTTTAGTAGTGTTCTCACATATATTTTAGTACTATTCCATGTCTGGTTTTTCACCTGACTTTTTCAGAATATATTCGATCCTTCTTCTTACAGTTTTTTGTACTCTGGTTGCATGTTATTACCACTTGTCAATTTTATCTGTGGTCACCAGGCTAGATGTGCATCTAATATCACATGTTCAACCGATTCACACTCCCTATTCTCTCGTAAATTATCCGGCCACCATGGGAAGGTCCTGTTTTATAAGAGTAGGTTTCAGGTTAGTTCCATGAGGTCTATCAATAACCTTAGGTCTCAACACAATTTTTTATCTTACTATTCGAACCCGGATGTCATTTAGGTAGCTGTAGCTGTCCACATGGAAATGTTAGAAGATTCATAGAAATGAAATTGAAACTACAAATCAGTGGTTGGTTCCTGTTGAAGACCAACCAGGTGTTGTCCATCTTTGCACTTGGCTACACTGTGCTGACGAGGCCAATTAGCCAGAAACATAGGTCCGCGGTTTACTACCGCTTTTTTGAGTATTATGTTTATGAGTTGACCTGGCAAACACAGGAACTCATATGTTCCTCTGTTTGCCACCCACTTTTGTTATGTTTGCAAGTTCTGCATATATAAATGAAATTTTCTTTGTTTTTTTTTGTATTGTAGACGAAGGTTTTCTCAAGATCTAAACTTGTTATTCAAATTTTCAAGAATATCTACAACAATGAAAATGAAAGCAAACAATGAATGACTGAAATTATGGAAGAAACTCACCATACATATAATGTTAACTCAAAAATTCTCGCGGACAAGGTATGATGAGCTGTTTTCTCGGGTTTCGCTCCGTGTTCTGTGTAATTATCCTCATAAGGATTATTTTCACAATATTTCAGCAGTCTCATTTGCCATCTTCTGGTGATGTCTGGAGTTTTACAGCTAGACTTGTCTAGTTGTGAAATGTAAAATGAAGAGTTAATTCATTTTTCAAATGAATCTTGCTATCAGAAAATTAGATATCACAACTACTTTAAGTTTTGACTCTCATACACATTCATTTCTGTTTTAAAATCGTGAGTGGCAGACCTTTCAGCAACCGATTCCATGCAGTTTTTCATAATTTCCTCACAATTGTTATCAAGTATGCGCGATCATCAAAATTCATTTTTTTCATCCATTTGAAAGGATGAGAAAATTATTTTATATTTAAAATTGAGTCGAACATTGAGAGTTAACGTCACATGATACAAACTATAGGTTGTAGTAAATTTGTGATACTCATGTGAAGTTTTTTATCACTGTCATGTAGTTGAAGGGAACTGGTAGTTTGTTATTAGAAAATTATATACAAATAAGCCTGGGAAATTTATAAAATTAATTATCTCAATAGAATACTTCACCTTAGATAAAGGAATCACATAAGTTATTGTTTTTTAAATCTATTCACTATAATGTTTTATGCAGCAATAATACTCTTGTTTGGTTGATCTTTTTGCTACATTCTATAATAACTGAATATGAAATTATAATTCATAATATTAAAAGAGAGTTAATAAAAATAATGTTGCCAATATTGATCGTCTGGTTTGTCATTGCAGTTAGTATCCTGCAGGAAGAATTTGCATCCCTACTACTACATGTGATCACTCTCATTCATCACTACAATAATGACTGAAATATAATGGCTGAGAATTTAGAGTTGATCACATTATTTTGAAAGATTAACTTTCAAAATAACTTTTAAGTACCTGCAATCTGACAGACTGCAGTTTATCACGAAGCTTTTGTAACAATTCAAAACTCGGTACTACGTTATCAGCTAGGTGGTTCAATGCCTACCAAAATCCATGTGTACAACAACTTAGATTTTCTCATCATCAGTTTATATTTTAAGTTATTCAAACCATCCAAATCGAATCTTTTCTGTCCTTGTTTCAAGACATCGTACCTGCAGAATTAAATAAAATAAATTGATATGTATCAAAACAATTTTGGAAAACATTACTCACCTGTTTGGACTAGGTTTGTCCTTCTTATGTGTGAGCATTGTATATCGGGCTATCGTCAATGGATATCTTGAAATGTGTAGATTGTGAAATCTTATGCGATTTGACATATCATCATCTTCTCCTCCCCAACCCCAAAAGGAATTCGAAAATCCGTTCAGAAGTTTGAAATGTTCTGTACTTATAGCACTGACTCCTCCAAAAATAGCTGGATAAGGTAACCTGAAAAAAATTCCATTAAATTCCTATAAACATATTTTCAAAGTTTTAATTCTGGTAGTCAAATAATGTCAATAACAGAAAATTGTCTTCTCCCACTTTGATCAATTATTACATTATTTGCAATGAAGAGTTTCACATAGAACAATCATTTTCAGGTTTACTACAAGCATCATATCTTTAATAAGATATATATGTAATTGTACCTAGAAAGTTTCGTTAGATGGAGTGGTTTTAGAGGCCTTTCCCATGTCAACAGGTGTCCCACAAGGGTCAATTTTAGGACCACTACTGTTTAGCTTATACATCTGAGACTTTCATCAATTTGTTGATAAATGTAAAACATCACCATTATGCAGATGACACTAAACTACTTTTTCCCTCAACCTATAGATGCTGGCAAATCAAAATTTCAAAGCCGATTCTATTTCCTCAACTCACAAACCTAAATTCCAAAAAATCTGCAGTAATGATTTTTGGTTCCAAAATAAGTGAAGAAGAAACTTTACTAATAACTTACTGCTAATCCGAATCGATAACAATAGGTTATCACTGGTCATAAAAATAAAAAACCTAAGTCTATGGTTCGATACTGAACTCCGTTTCACACAAAATGTGAGCCAACTGAACGAATTGTCTTTCAATATCCTCAGGCAGATTCTTTTTGCACGGTCTTGATCGAGGAATCGTCGTACCTTAACCAATAGTTGTAACCCACGTGGAAGACATTGATTACATAGTGTCCTATGCTGTTCTCTTTGCAGTCATGGTACACGATGGCGAATAGCTTGCACTGCATCTCAAGTTGAATTCAAATTCCAATGCCTTGATAATCTTCGTGCAAACGTCATGGCTATAATATCTTCAATAACTATCTCCGACAAATTCATATCACCCATTAAAATAAAGTTTTTAGGAGTTTTGGTAATATCATGAATGAATTTTAAGAATTCCATTATATTTACATTAGATCAATAGATTATGCCAATTTTCAGTTTTGGACTCGTTGAAGCTATTTCAATAATAAATATTACTGGAGTTTTTTCCCCAACACCAAATCGTTATTTTTAACACCTCGACACGTGTTTCGATCACCAAGTGATCATCTTCACAGAGGAAGATTAAATCTTCCTCTTTTATTACTACACCAAAAGTTCCAAACAGTGCATCATAAGTTATTTCAATGATGATATAATTACAATTTGCTAAGAATTCTTGTTTGAAAATGTTGTCCAAATCTTTCTTCACAAAATTAGATACTCCACCACGCTCAAGTTTTTTGCATTCCTGAATAATTTGAATTTTAATAAATGGAGCTTTATTATGATACAGTCAGGTTTCCGTAAGTGTAAAAATATCGTTTTCATCTTTGGTTAGATATAAATTCACTTCCATCAGGTTATTTCTAAGACTTCTTATACTTACATATGAAATGGATGAAGGTTAAAAGTTTATATTTTATTTTGGAAAGGTATTTATTTGATATTTGATCATTGGGCAATTTTTGTCATTTATAGTATGGTGAACACAGTCTTATATGTTAAATTCGAAAAGTCAAAGTTAGCACATTTTTCTTGAGTAACTATACAGTTTTTATGGTCTTCACATCAAAGACAAATTAGTTTACTTCTGCAATTCTTTGAAGAATCAATAGCATTTGAACAATGCGTTGATTTTTGCAAGTATTCAAGTTTTGTCAACTGACAAATAATTTTCCTTGGTTTTTCCAATGATTGTATTGATCAATTTTCCGTTTACTATCGCAAAAACAGTATATTCATCTTTTTATGCGGAGAATATTTCAAAAAATAATTAATAAGATTGACATACATATCAAATCAAAAGATTGATTTGAAAAATAAAATTATTCATTGAAAAAATATTTTTAGTCCATTAATATTTTGAATGAAATTTCNGCTGCTCATCGTTTTGAGGTTCAACTCAGTACACCTCGAACTTCACTGTTTAAGAACTCTTCAATTTGGAGAACTGCGTTTATAAGATATAAACTTCCTGAGAACGGTTTTCAAACGGATTTAATCTCCAGCGATTCTAATCCAATGTGAATCGCTACTTTCTCACAGGCTTCGCTCTTAAGAATTTTTCTGTTGTTTTCCAACAAAAAATTGTAAAAAACTCGATCAATAAATTCCGTAGCAACCCAGATGGTGAGATAGGGGAGCATTATTGAGGTCAGATCGTATCGCTGCGCCTGTAGAACAAAAAATAAGGAACTCGTATTTCCTGATTGGGCTTCAGCACGTATTCTTTCTGCACGATCTTGATCGAGGCTCCAATCTTATAGCGCCTTAAGAATTTTCCTGTTGTGCTTGTGTTTTTTTCCTAAAAAAAAATATTGATTCAGGGTAAAAACTGGTTTTATCTGGTTTAGATTCACATAGTACTTGCGAATAGTTTGGAACATACCTCAAAACTTATGTTTTATAACTACTCAATTATATTATTGAGTCTTTTTTACTATATTACATCTAATCAACTCATTGAAGTCTTTCATTTTCTTTTTGTACTTGGAGTACATTGTGGTCTTAAAAAACATTTCTCAATTAATAGAAATTTCATTGAAAGAAACAAATTGATGAAATAAATGGTAAATGCTATAATATTAATTATGTTGAAAAACGGTGAATCAAAGGTCTCAAATAATAATTATTAGATAAATTGAAATTGTATTGATCATACCATAGATTGCTGAGGCGAGTGGTGTGATGACTGCTACCTAGGACCTTCCGAACTATTTCTTAATACATTACATCATTATTTTTTTTTCAATAAATGCGTTTAATAAAAAACATTTTTTGACTTACTTTAGTTTCTAATTTTGTAACTCAATTCTTCTCATTCTGAACAGTTCATTTAGTGCCTCAGTATTAAAAAGTAAACTGTACTTCGTCATTTTTAGCTGCGGCCATCTTGAATTTGAATCTTTTTCAAAGTGTACTACTATTCTACTAGTCAAGCCTTGTGTGTCATTTGATACCCATATTGCGTGTAGTTGGGAAAAAAATATGTAATACGCCATTTTGTAGCTGCGGCCATCTTGAATTTACAATAATACAGATTTTATTAAATTGTATCGTCATCAAAACTAAATGTGCCTACCAAAAATCAGATCAATCTGTTAACAGGAAGGAGGTCAAACTTCAATTACTGAATTTGACCCAAACAAATAAACAAACAAAACAGGGCAAGCTGAATAAAACCGTTTAATAAAATGATGTGGAGTTTGAAGAAAAAATGTTTCTTTCTGAACACATCGAACGCATGTACTTTTTATATAGTCAATTTTAAAACTTACGATGGGCTATATCTCACGAACGAAAGCTGATATCGAAAAATGCTTGAAATCGTTTCTAGGATAGTAAAGGGGAACTAAAGTGACATGAAAGAACTCACCTCCATCAACCCCCTAGGCCCCACCCACCAAAACTCAAAAAGTTTAAATTGCAAACCATTACTTGTGATACATCATTGAAAAGACTATAAAAAATGCTATCCAATGGTATAAATAATAATTGTACAGGGTGAAGCAATAATTGTGAAACTTTGGCTCAAATGGAATATTTATTGAGGTTTTTGTTGAACTGCAAATTTATTAAAAATGTCAATTAAGTAAATGTTCAAAGTGGGTTCTGTTGTTTTGTAAACAATAATACAGCCTATTTTCAAATTCTGCACGAACTTTGGCAAATGTTGTTCTAGTAATGGCGCGACATGCTTGCGTAATTATTTCTCGCAATTCCCTAAGTGACGCTGGTTGAGTTTTATAAACAACTGACTTGAGGTGACCCCACAGAAAAAAGGGAAAAATTTTACTTTATGGCATACTCAAAGATTTTCGCGATTTTTTCTGAAATGATACTACGTGATGGTAGGAATTCAGAAAACTTTTTATTTTATGTCGGACTCAATTAGTTTTCGAGATATGGCTTGTAAAAGTTTGTATGATATGTCATATTTTACCTTTTTAAAAATAATAGTCCGGAAGGTAGCATTACAAATAAAAAAGTCATAGTGAGTCGGCTGATATTAAAGTTCGTGCAGACTTTGACAATAGGCTGTATTATTATTTACAAAACAACGGAATCCACTTTGAACATTTACTTAATTGACATTTTTAATAAATTTGTAGTTCAACAAAAACCTCATTAAATATTCCATTTAAAACAAAGTTTCACAATTATTGCTTCACCCTGTACAATCGTTATTTATACCATTAGATAGCATTTTTTATAGTCTTTTAAATGTGCAATAGTTTTTCGAATTGCAATTTAAACTTTTTGAGTTTTGGTAGGTGAGACCTAGGGGGTTGATGGGGGTGACTTCTCTTTCATGTCACTTTAGTTTCCCCTTACTATCCTAGACACGGTTTGAAGCATTTTTCGATATCAGTTTTCTTTCGTGAGATATAGCCCATTGTAAGTTTTAAAATTGACACACTGTAGAAAGGAATATTAGTTATTCATTACCAGTGTTACAAACACCCTAACTTCAATTATTTTTTAACATAACATAGGTAATGATCAGATTGTTCTTAAGTGAGCTTTAGATATTCTGTATTTTTCTGGTGCATATTGGTATGTGTTTTTGTCGTGAATAATCAATCAAAAGTTTCATAAAGAACATAAGAGACCTAACTCGAAACTTCAAGTTTCACACTTTATCAATTTCAAAGCAGAAATATATTTAGAGAAATCATTGGTACGTAATGACAACTACTTTGACGAATAATCTTTTTCATGACTTCTTGTACTTTTTGTATATAGGTAGCTGACTGCTCAGATTTAGTGTTTCTTACCTATATTTAAAAATATCAACTGCTACGCTCATATGTCTTGGTTGATCAGGACAAGTATATAAATTTCTATCATCTTCAGGTAACAAATCGATGTCATGAAAAATGAAACAGTCGAAATGGCTCATATTCAGAGCCTCCTTATATCCAATATTCATCAACATAGCTCTATTGAAGACTCCATCTCCATGCTGTTCTATTATGAATATTGTGTAATCCAGTTGTTGCCTCTTCAAAAAAGGGTGCATGTGTCTGAGGAAGACGAGAAGGTGTTCACTACGGCATCGGAATGGAATGACAATAGCTACACGTTTAAGTACTCGACATGACTCTGGCTGCCAGTGCCCACCGGGTTTCAACCATGAAAATCGCTTTTCCAATTCTTGTATCGATGGAACTGGAGATCTGACTATGGGTATTCTACCTCCTGCAATGACATAATAACATTGTTTATGAATACTGATGAACTGAAGATCCTCTTGAAGATGATCACCAAGTGATCATCTTCAAGATGATCCAGTAGTATTCATTACTACACCAAAGGTTCCAAACAGTGCATCACAAGTGAATTAGGTTTATTGTACATTATGTATATAATCAAAATCTTCTATCCAGTGTTATATAGAGAAATATTCACCCTTCATTTCGTTTATGTATTTGAAGAAATGATCTTATCATGGAAATAATTCTACAATGTGAAATTGAAGAATAATTAAATCATATAAGTAGTACTATATTTCTACAAAATAAAGTAACTAATTCTATCTCTAAATAGAAGATAATAGGAGATGAAGTACTATCTTTGTATATAGGCTATCCACTATCTTATATTGAAATTATGATACTTTCTATTCCCCTTTTTAGATAAAGACCTGAGTTGCGTATTGAGAAACTATTAAAGTTCAATATATTTATTTTTTAGGTTCTATCCAGGATAATAATTACACAATTTTCAGAAACATTTCTATTTCTAGACAGTTTCGCTAACATTTAGCTTCCTCTGTAGAAGGAGGCAGCTACGGTGTTAGTCCATTTATAATTTTAGGTTCACAGTGTTTCATCTGTGGTGGTAGTTTACGTAAGTAAGTACATATCATTGAGAGAAGTACAAAAAATTACATACGAAAACAACTTTTCCCCAAGGATAAAAGATAAATAACCATTCCTAAAGTATACAGAAAAATCTGCATGCAGTTGTCTTACTGCTGTATATTGGTTGTCTGTTGAATATGCCTCTGATAAATTCATACGATATACATTGTTCAAGTAACAGTTTATTGAGAGATTTTCACTAGATGGTTTACTAAACTGCAACACGTGCTACTTTATACAATAGCAACACGTGTTGCGATTTTGTAAAATGGAAATTTCACAATAAAGTGTTACTTGAATAACTGACTACACGTGATTTCAAGCTGAATATTTTAGTTGAAGCAGTAGTAAAAATGAATTTTCAGATATAGATTTTGTTGCTTCCGAAGGAAGGTATCATGCCATATTAGTATGTTATGGCATTAATTTGTAATGCGTGAGATTATTGTTCTTTAATGAATACTATAACTTTAGTTTATAACCAAGTTTTATACAGGGTGTTTATGAACATGCGGCAAAAATAGGGACTATTCCTTGGACTATTTTTAGGATATTTTGTCCTTTGATGATTTTTGATAGGTCGCTCTGTTTCGAAGATACGGGGCAAAAAAAAAATTAACAATAACTATTCGTATCTGTTATGTCTAATGAGCTTTAAAGTTCCGGAGCAAAGTACTCGAACTCCTGAAATTTTTGCTGTTCCATATCATCGTACTAACTATTTATATACCAATATCAATACCTCGCTTCACCAGATTTCAAATGGTGCACCTTGCGAATTCACTAGTATTCCTCTGTCAAAATTGAAGCTTTAGTGTAACAGATTTTTCCAACAGTGAAACTATTATATGATTTTATTGATTTTATCACAGAACTCATTTTCTAATGAGTTCCTGAATGTGTTTCAACACAACTATTCTTTCTCCAGTTACATGAAACAGTTTTTTTAATATTTTTTAAAATCATATTTAGAGAGTTGATCAAGCTAAGATAAGTAGGAAGGTCCTTGAACACTTTTGATGAAAGGTAAGAATAATTTCGTATTATTACGTATTATGATGATCCCTATCACATAGAACGGCTTCAACCATAAATATATAGGATACATGAAAATCCTTAAGGGGCTCTCAGAGTGGTGCCTATGGGAAAGTAGCGATTCACATTGGATTGAATCCCTGGAGATTAAATCCATTTGGAAAAACGTTCTCAGGAAGTTCATTCCACATAAATGAAGTTCTCCAGATGAAAGAGTTCTTAAACAGTGAAGTTCGAGGTGTACTGAGTTGAACCTCAAAACGATGAGCTGCCACAGTCCGTCGCGTATTTCTGATATGTACTTCCCTTGGTGGAATCAAATGTGCCAAGTCACTTGAATACTTCCCGTGAAAGTATCTATAGAAGAGAGACAAATCTCCAACCGTTCTTCGATGTTCCAGACTATCAAGACTGCATGTGATGTTCGCGTCTCCAATCAGGCGGATGGCTTTTTTCCAGCAATTTAAGTTTATGTTTGGGGGCACAGCTCCCTATATGAGAACAATACTCCAAAGAAGGTTTCTGGTTCCAAGCTTTTGAGAAGCAGCCTCCGTAGCCGATGTCCTGGAATCCAATAGGATAACGAGACAAGTGTGGTCGTCAGCAAAGCAATATATTGGATATTTGGTTTTTTCCAATAAGTCATTGATATACAATAAAAAAAAGGGTTGGAGACAATATGGATCCCTCGGGAACACCAGCGTTTATGGTAAAAGTATTCGAGAGATATACATCGACGGCCATTTGCAGGGAACGTTCTTTCAGGAAGCTGAAGAGCCATACACAAAAACGATCCGACAAGCCACAGCATCAAAATTTGGCCAGCAAATCCTCATGCCACACACGGTTAAAGGCCTTAGAAATATCAATCGCAACAGCTCTTGATTCTCCATGTTTCTCGATTGCGTTATTCCAAATAAAGGGTGACATACGATAGAAGATCGCCAGTTGATATTTGTTTCTGAAAGCCATATTGATGATTGGTCAAGATGTTGAAGCCTTCCAAATTTTTGATTTTTGATATGACTGATAGCAAAGCGACTGGTCTATAGTTATTTTAGGCTATTTATAGGCTGAACGCGAGCAATCTTCCAACAACAACAAGAAAAAACCCCTGCAAAATACTGTTTCACAAAAATTTTACAAAGTTTAACAAAATTATCCTCATTTGAGGTTGGTGACCTATATAACGCTGTCAGAAGTGTACTTTGTTGGTAATTGATAATTATTTTCATTTGTAGAAAACCTTATTCATGTCAATTAGAATTGTTTTATCAAGACAACTAAATGATTTTTTTGAGGTAGACTACAACACAATCATTTTTGTTTAGGTTTCCTTTGGAATAAACATTACAGTTTAGTCAATAATTAATGTTTCAGTTAACACCATGCAGTCATAACCAAAAGCCAATTGTTGGAAAATAGTTTATTATTCAACGAGCGTATAATGATGGCTATAGCTATTATATTCTTTATCCACGACTAATACAAAATTTTGTTGAAGTCTTTTCGTTGAAAAATTTTGTTACATTACATAACGGCAATAAGATCAGTGAGGCAACTTTAGCAGCTTCACTAATTTCCGATGGTATAGAAATGGTGTAGAAGAAAAGTCATTTTCATTTTCTTGTCCATTTTTAGTTCGTTTCTTAACAAATTCAACACAAAATATCAAAACACTAAGTGGAAAATCTACGCACACAAACCATAATGTTGATAGGTTTGAGTCAAATTTGTTTTGTTTCAATAGCTATTTCGATGTATAGAATGTTTTGAAAAACATGGTATGTTAAGAGAGATATGACACGCACATTCAAAGTCGCTGATCTCAGTGTAGATGCTCCTCGCCTTCAAACCACGGGTCCCGGATTCGAATCCAGTCTAGCAAAAGGCACTTTCTTAATTTTTTTTATTTGTAAGTACAAAACTGAATTGGAAATATTTGGTGGTTTACACGATACAATTTTAAGGACCGATTGTTTGTAGCAAAACAATATAATATTATAGCTAAATCAATGAAGCATCTGACAGCAGTGATTAATGACTCATTAATCACTGCTGCCATTAATGGGTATTATTAAGGTGGAGCAAACAGACGTATAATGAGTAAATTATACAATAGTCGTCGATAAAGATTATTAAGTCATCTATGTTTTTGGAAAGACTTCGGATATTCTGGTGAAACAATTGAACATATACAATGTCTTTCAAAAACAACCCAGAGGTGCACCCCCTTTTTTCTCATAGAGTCACCACCCATGATGCTCCTCAACATTTGTGATGATGACGAGGAGTTTATCCAAAGTAACCTAAAAATTCAATATGAGGAATATCAGGTAGGTCTTCAGTATTATTCAAGTTACACTTTATTGTGAGGTTTTCACCAGACAGTTTAGAAAACCGTAACAAATCTTTCGCTATGCAATGACTAAATTCTACTTCATTTGTGCTTCATATAATAATAATTTGGATTATATGACTTTCTACTTACTCAAAAATAAAATAGTTTTGTTCTCGAATGTTTGTTCTAATTTTTCAATCAGAATAGGATTTTCTAGCGAAAGTCTAACTATTTTAATTTCAGGGTTACCTCAACTTCAATTATGTAGTCTTTCTCAAATATTTTTATTTCTGCTCAAAAATTTGTATGATGATTTTATTCTTTGCAGTAAACTTACGAGTTCTTCCTGCTTCAAATGTTCTACTGTTGCAGTACTAATTTGTAGTTTACCAATATTATTTGGTCTTTGATGATTATTGTTTGTTGTTCTTGTTGGAAGATCGCTTGCGTTCAGTCTTTTCCCAAAAAGGGCTAAAAAATGTTCCAAATAACTATAGACCAGTCGATTTGCTATCAGTGATATCAAAAATCGTGGGGAAGGCCGTAAACCACCATATCCTGAAATATTTGGAAGGCTCTACATCTTGACATCTTATTTTATTGCCATGACATGTGAACTTATGTTCAAAATCTGTATATTTTTTATTTACATTTTTTGAAAGGGACTATACAAACTATTTTGTCTACAAACTTCGTTAAATTTTATTTTCTATTGTTACATTTTATCTATTAGATATGTGAACTTAGTTTTGCTCAAATTGTGTTTCTGGGTCTTTGTGTTTTTGAATTGTTTCTTTCCTTTCATTTTTTGAAGTGCTATATATACCAGATTTCTTAACAAGCTTTATCAATAAGATTTTATTTTCTTGGACAATAAAGTATATGTCTATCTATCTATCTTGAGCAATCATCAATATGGCTTTCGGAAACAAAGATCAACAGGCGACCTTCTATCGTAT